CATCTAACCTGTAGGGGAAAAACGGTACGAGAAATGACATGTGAAGGTAACCGGTCAAATGAATAATCATGGGTAAAAAGAGTATGAGAAGGTATAAATAAGAAGGTAACAGGCAAGATGAAAAATCACGATTTGCCACTTGTCGAGTTAAGGTCTCCCCCAGAATCGACCGTCTCCGCTTGAATCGCTTGGTCCTCAGCTTCCATCAGAAAGTATTGTAATTCACCGATTAGAAAAGAAACCTATGGTTGGGGTCTAGTTAGTTGTTGCAGCAGCCGGTGACTTTTTGACAAATGAGATTTCGAGATGTTACACTGTTCTCCATCAATTACACTCGTATTTGAGAGAACCAGATCATTTGTTCCACAGACCCGGTTACTATCACATGTGAACGAAACCAACGTAGCCGACGAATGAACACGTGAACTGCAGCACAAATCAGTAACTTTTGCCCTCCAAATCGACGTTTTCCGTATCGGTTTCGTAAGGTGAATCATAGCCCATCGGTACAGATGACTCAACCCTAAATGGGATCACATCACATGAACTGTCTTTTGGCGAGTAAATTATCGCCTACCTATTGTCTCCCTTCAGAACTGGGGCATGAATAGGACGGCCAGATCATGTGCACGCTTGGTTCAAGCGAGGTCGTAGTATGCGTAACACTAGGTGCTATTGGCCTATATACTACCCCAATATACTGCCCTATATCTGTTCGGACTGTCTTCACAGCAGAGCTTCCAGCATGTCGCACATAAGTACGCAGAAAACTGCTGTATTTTAACCAGGGTTTATGGTCTGTTATGTCAAACTCGTACGTAAGTACCGGCAGTTTTTTGGTTAAGAGACAGCATCTTGAACATCCGGGAAGAAGCATGTGGATAGCATTCCAGTCCTCCAGCTCACATGCTTTACGAGTTATGTCAAAGGTGCACGCACATCGGAAGGGGTTTGTCCCCTGGCCCATTGGCTCTGCATCTTAGGCAACCCCTTACACTTCCCACCAGCCTGTTTTTCGACTGTACGTCAGTGTAGGGAATTTTTCTGCCCTAGGCGTAGATACCAAGCTCGAATTCAGGGGAGTTTGTTATTGTTTTGATTTGGTAGTTGGTCAGAGACCAGGTACCTTTTGTGCTGAAGGGGTTATAGTAGGTATTTCTCCTACTTATTTTTTTGTGTATGAGTTACTGGTATCGAGTCTGATATATTTTAGGAAAGGTTCCACGTGGCCTAATGCAAGCTGTTGATTTAAATAGAACTTTCTTCCTCATCTTCGTGCTGGCAGCCCATTTTCCCACCATAATGTGCGTACGACCAGAAGGACTATCAGACAGACTCTTGACGCATGTGAATAGAGACGAAATGCTTGCAAAGGTCAGGGAAATGTTCGATTTTGGCTTCACAAACTATATGCGGTATGCATATCCACTAGACGAACTGGACCCAATCCACTGTGCTGGCAGGGGATATGACTTTGCCAACAGGCACAACATAAACGTCAATGACGCGCTTGGCAACTATCAACTGACCTTGGTGGACTCTTTGGACACGCTGGCCGTTTGTGATAAGCTTTTCTATCGTATTTGTATTTGCAGATATTTGGGAACGTTTCAGCCTTTAAACACGCAGTCGGCCTGATTACTCACTCACTACACTTTAACGTCAGTACAATAGTACAGGTCTTCGAATCAACTATTAGGTATGCATCCAGTACTTCCCCCGCACTTTCATAGAGTTATTGGAGGTCTCCTTTCGGCCCACCTTATGATTACCGACCCTAAAAAGAGGTTCGAATCCCTTCGGCCGGACCATTACGCCGACGAGCTCTTGTCTCTTGCTCATGACCTAGCCAATCGGATTATTGTTGCCTTTGAGGTGAGTAGGCGCTTATCTTATATAGTCAGTTTTATTTCTAAACTTTTCCTGACAGACTAACTAACTTGCCTTCATTATGCATGCCGAAGGTAGCGGCTGCACTGCGACAGCCTTGTCATGTATTTCTATCTATCCGTTATGCCGTCGAAGCTACTACTACCACTGTCATTACTACCATTGCTAATTTGAAAATAACACCACTACACTTTCCTCAGCCCCCTCGTAGACGACCTCTCCCGACATTTCAGCAGTTTTAGGGGAATCAGAAATTACACTAGATGTTCCGGCTATGCCGAAAAGGGTTGTAAATCAGGTGCGATATATCTTTACGTTTATTCTGCAGGATGGAAAATGCAAAGAATGCAGAATGCTGTCTGTGACACATCTAAGTACTGGTCCCTATCGGCTAGACTTAGCAAACGAATAATCCTCGTTTACCACTGTTTAAAAAGAACGTAAATACCACCGTTGCCCTTCATAACCAGCTTATTACTTCGCTTTTACCAATTACACATTGTGCACGCCCGAAAGACGCCATACCTTTAGATCGGCCGTACGGGAATCTTCCATCACAACCGCTCTTGGCACCACCGCCTTCTGTTACTTGGCACAAACGAAAGAATGATGCAGTAGGCAGCGCAAAAACAACGTTGCAACAATTTGCAATGCGTTAAGTTACCCACCCACAGCCAACTCTGGAGCACAGCGGGAGAAATTACCCCCAGTATGCAGCTTATTTTTCACAGAATGGCGTGATGTCACGTTAGTTTTCAATGGGGTCGTTCGGCACGATCACACCCTTCGCACTGAAGATCGCAGAGTTCTTGGCCTCGCATAGCATGTCGCCCCCGAAAAGCGTTCACTTAGACGATCTTGGCGATACCTAGCTTGGTTTTGTTTGCTTTTCTCGTGTACACTTCGGGACAAGACAGTTGGTCCTGACAGCAGTATTTTATTGGTAAACGTAGTGACATTTTAGGATATGGATTTTGTTCAGCGTATGAAGACGAACGTACGGCAGTCCATGACGCCCTTTGGTGAATCTAGAAATAAATTATAGTTGCTTTGCCACATGACGAAATTATGGATACTTGTAGTAAATTAGGTCATTTTTTATTCCAGTCCACAACACAGTTGCTTAGTATGCATCTATCAGTTCGAGGAGAAACTATCGTGATAAGTCGCGTTCACTTGCCTTTAGTCTTGATCTTCGCGTTAACTTAATCTTACAGGTTTAGCTGGTGTTCAGTATCACGCGATTTTTTGTTAGTACACGAGTCCACAGAGATCTTGTTTTTTGCCTTGGCCAGTTGAGCTTCCAAATGGACAATTCCTTTTAGAAAGTTTATTTTAAGGCAGGTGTAAGTCTGCCGAGCCGTACATGACCAAGCTGTTGCACACACAGGAAAGCCGTATTATTAGGGGCTTTAATTTGTCTTTCAAGCCTTAAATAGTTCCCTAGTACTCGAACAGCCAAGCTATATGATTGCATCATTGGCTTGTATTTTACGCCTGTCCTGTTTTTTGTTCTGCCTTTTTGCATGCCGACTTTATGCTTGATATTAACACCATCCTTTTACGGTCCATGCACTAAGGGAACGCCGAGCGGTATTCCTTTTCCTAGGGTCAACCTGGGTCTAGCCTCCGTCGAAACACTCGGCTACAGCCACACCTGTCTTGCGGGAGCCGGTTCCCTTCTCTTGGAATTTGGCACGCTGAGTCTTCTTCTCCAAGATCCTACCTACGCAGCAACTGCTCGCAGGGTTGTTCTACAACTGTGGAAGAGACGTTCCAATGTGACTGGGCTACTGGGTAAGAAATCTTTCCCTCCCTTCTTTATATGATACAGAAAAGAGTCTGTCTGCTGCCAGTCTTAGTTAGGAGTGCACCTTTAAATGCGCTCGTTGAGTAAGCGAGGGTGAACCCAAGTATCCACACTTGCATTATACAGCGTGTAACCGATCTCATGAAATGTTGACCGAAATTCTGAAATGAGTTTTCGATTAGGAAGGGTTACTTAAGTGGGGTTGTAATACTGATAATCGTGGAGCGTAATCCCAAGATATTTAAGTCTCGCCAGGATGCCGGCTTTTCAATGTATTTCTACACGACCGCCTACAAACACCCCACTTAATATCAATGGCCGCTTAAGTAGAGTGAATTTTTCTGTTCCTCTTCTATTTCCTCATAAATTTAAACATAATCTGTAAAGGACGAGCACAAAGATATTCTTTCCTACACTCGTTTGATATCAGCTCACATCTTCAATTCTGTGCTCGAGTAAAGTGTATCTTTCGCTTTTAAAAATTGTAATTATGAGACTTTTTAGGGCTGTGAAACTTCCATTCAAATACTATCGTATCTGTCCGTTTACTAATGCTCCTTATAAAATGCACGTCCATTGTTTCATATACTGTCGTAGTGACATAGAGCTGTGTGATTTTTTTCACATTATAAGTATGCAACCCGGAACGCAAGTGCAACGACGGACCTGATTCAGGATAATTCGGGAATTGGAAAACTTCCAAAACCCAATTATACCCTTTTCTTAAGTATACAGTTTGATGGAGGTGTGATTTGCTACGAAACGAGTTAAAGAGCATATCCTTGTGCATGTCTTCCATAAAAATATGTTTGTTGACATCACAAAAATGCATACACAAAGGCCATTTTTTGTGGGGTACGGTTTTCAGAGGCGATCGAATGGGATTGCTTTCAAAGGCCGACATCCTACCGTGATAAAAATACCCTGGAATTATGCTGCACGATGATCAGTATTACACTTAAGTAATCCTTCCTAATCGAAAACGTATTTCAGAATTTTAGTTAAGACTTTCATGGAATCGGCCGCTGACTGTAATACTTGTGTCTTTTCATTCGGTGGTCTCTTGCTTTGTCCGATCCAGAGTCCCATTTTAACCTTTTCGTACACCTAGGCACTGACATTGATCTGATGACGGGCAAGTGGATCAATCAGATGACTGGCGTTGGTGCTGGGCAGGATTCCTTCTACGAGTACCTTCTAAAGGTGCATGCCAACTTTTTTTAACTGCAATTTGGCACACAAATGGGCTCTTTACTGCGTGCGTTTTTCTATTGTCCCTTCATTCCTAATTTGGTGGTCGCTTGCAGAATTAGCGATCTCGGTGAGAAGGAGGAACCTCGATACCCAACAGGCTTTACTCATCTATTGCTGTCAGTACCGAGCTGGAATGGACCTAAAGCCACGCGGTCCACTTTTTGCATGGTTCGCCTGACCCGCCAGAACGACATAAACTGCATTGTACACCTTTTTGGAATTTTCTCGTGTTCCTAGTAGTGTGCGGCTTCGATATTTGTAGGTCAGATCGCCGGTTAGAGATTGCAAAAAGGCAGTCAGTCCTAGCGGATGAAAATACTTCATTATTAAGCGTTTCGTCTATTAGAATAGTTTTTACACTGACTCGCCGGTACTGCTTTACTATTGTGACTGATGTAGGTCTTGTTGGATAAACCAGTGAGAGTTGGTCTAAACTATCTTAGTATCCGACCTACCTCCTTTTTGTGTTCCTTAACGTATAAAAGATCAGGCTGTCTCTAAGTAAAGCCAAAAAGGTGTTGTCCAACCATTATACACTGCCACAACTCAGCTTACTTGTCAATTTTGTTGATTCTGAGAATGACAGATGTAAGCCATCTGACACTGCAGGATGCCCAAGAAATCACCTCGCAGGCGATCTTTTGAAAATTTCAAGTCGATTACGACCCATGCTTACCATTGGCTTTGGCGAGATGTTTCTTTAAGAGGTGGTTTCTACAGGTTTCCGATTTCGTCCTGCCCATTATAGAGTCGAATAGCCTTTGATGACAAGCAGATGGGACGGATGTTTGATGCTGCCCTGCGCAGCCTGAACTATCATCTGCGCGGCAATGAGACCAGTTGCACCCGGGAAGATGGCCTGCCCTCTGCCTACTGGAATGTGAATATGTTTACGGGTGATATTGCAAACTACTGGATTGATTCTCTCCAGGCAGCCTGGCCAGGAATATTAGTGAGTGTATCCTCCATTCACTCGAACCTGGACACAGGCCTATTTGCCGCATTTTTAACTTATCATTGCTTTTGAATATCGGTAGTTCTTGATGTCGGTATCTACGACTTCATTCCTCACTAAGGCTACCTGTCTACTCATTGAACGCTACGGAACAATTGCTAAGGTGTTCAGTTAGGACGCCGACGAAGTGGCATGAAAAAGCGCTTGCTATTGTTATCAGTAGTGGTGGCGTAGGCGCTGCCTTATTTGCTTTGGCGTATTCCTATGCCGACCCCGCTAGCTTCTTAATATGTCATAGGGAGTCTTAAAAAGCTATGTCCTTGCAATATCTCTGGCAACTGACCGTTCTGACTATGGTCCGCACAAAACTGTCCCAATCTGCGATTGTGCTATTTTCCATCCTGCTCTTGCTTACTGCTGCTTGGAACTTCTGTATGCACCCGAATCTCCTTATCGTCATCGTTGCTTCACCGCATATCAATATCACTCGGATGGACCTTTCAGTGCACTATCTCGGAAGATAACATGTCATTCAATACGCCGAGTGTTGGGACCATCAGGGCGTTGAATTGCCTCAATCGTATCCCCACAACCTTTCTTCCAGACAATCTCGTCGAGGAGGATGTTAAACGATGAGTCAGCGCAACAGCTACTGTCTTTTGAACCTAAAAGGATGTCCGTCGGATTGATCCTGTATAAATCGTTGTATTCAGGGTAACGGTTCGATCAGTGTTTTGTGCGGCTGTGGCTCTGTGCCCCGTGAAAACCCCCGACTTGTGATTAAGAGGAGAGAATCTTGCTGTTTAATCCATGGTCTTGTCTCTCCACTGGGTAAAATTGTCCGGTGTGTGCCATACTGGCACTTTGTCTGCGTGCAATAGAATTGTAGCTGTAGGAGGGACTAATTGTCTTAAGTCAGTTAGGCGTTTGGTGTCTGGCTTTCGGCAATAGCAGCATGACTTGCTAACAGCTGCTAGAATCTAAACACTCCAGCGTGAATCGTCTCAGTCTTCATTTCTTAATGGATGCCTTTAACCGTAAGCAGTCGTTGAGTTTTTTCTCATTTTAAACTCCCACAGGCCCTTGCAGGTAATGTTGAAGAGGCTAAATGTCAGCACAGCATCCACCTCTCCATATGGAGACGTTTTGGTCTACCGCCTGAGCGCTATAATGTGCTATCCAAGCTGCCGGACCTCTCGTTCTATCCGTTGCGACCCGAGTTTGCAGAGTCCACCTATCACCTCTACCGGGCGACAAAGGACCCCTTCTACCTTGCCGTTGGTGCCGAAATTGTGTCAAATCTTGACAAGTACGCTCGTGCCAAGTGAGTCTTTTCCTGCATGAAGGTTGCCAAATTTCTTCTATCATTACTCTGTCACTATGCAGTCGTCATGTTGCCCGTGCTGTACACCCGACTTCCGCAATCCGTCTCTCCACGACGCCTTCGGTGCATTAGGAATTTGAAGGCTGTTAATGTCGTTAGAGGACTAACCTTGTCAAGTCATGCAGAAAATAGTTAGGATTTTGTCACCAGAGTTTCTGTCCTAATTTCTGACTTATATGTGAATTCGCGGTACCTTTTGGTGACACGAAGTATGCCAGGTTCTACATACTTAACTTCAATGCTTGACATTGAAGCATTTGATTGTACAGTGAAGTACGCGTAACAGTTTGTTGTTGTTTGTTGTTGTTGTCGTAACAGTTTGTTGTTTGTCCTAACTACTTGTAATCCTCTCCTTTGTCCTGTTCACATCCGAATCTTTCTCTTTGCAGATGCGGCTTTGCAACAATCCACAATGTGCAAGATATGTCCCAAGAAGACCGCATGGAAAGCTTCTTCCTCAGTGAAACCCTCAAGTATTTGTACCTGGTTCGTTTCTCTGCATACATTAGTTCCATTTTCTCAAGCTACAAGATCCGCCACTGACCCACGTTGTGGGCGCAACGCTCGTGACTTGCGCTACATCCGTTTAACCTCTTCATAATGCATTCCGATGGCAAGACGAAGTCAAAACCAGAGCTGGCGATCGTTCGATAATTGCTTTGGTTGTACAGGCCACACCATTTTTCATGGCTCTTGAGTAGATGCCGCAATTTATATAGCTCGTTTTCAACCTCTGTCTCGTCAACACTACTAATCTTGGCGTCTTAGCTGCCTGCGAATTGCTTTGCCTCCAATTGGGTGTCATATAGAATCAGCTTTTCTTTATTTCGCGTTTCCGATTATTATTCTGGCCCTATAAAGCCCTCAGTCCATAACTTTGCGGTTAGCGCCTCCCTCATGCCATCCCATGTTATTGCAGAAGCCTGGGTGTCCCACTAGAGTGACCTGGCGTTTCTATTCATATTTCCGCCTTTATATTTTCTCTTTCTTTCTTCCTCTTTACCGCTGTTTATCCAAACCTTGCCCCATCATGTATTCGAGCAGTGCGGTGCACACCTGTGTCGTCATTCTTTCGAGCTTCTCAGGCTAGTCAGATAGCGATAAGCAGTGATACATGACAAATCCTGCTGTCTGACAACGGCTAATAAGCCAGAAATGTTCATCACAGTCACCCTGTCTTGGCTGCCGTTTATTCTTTCTATGGGACACTGTGTGCACATATGCTTCGAATCCCTTGTCTGACTTCACTCTGCTGTAGGCACCATTAAAAACAACCCCGTTATAAGCTACCGCAAGTCCACAGGAATACGTAGCCGCTGCAAGTTGCTCAATCAAAGATAGTCAACCGGTAAATGCACAAAAGGGGACGAGTTTAAGTTTGCCTCGCAAGGCGGTTTTGAATTTTTTAGCGCTCATAAACATCCTGTACTGCAAAGACTAGTTAGTCCCGGAGTACTAAGGAAGTCCGCCCAAATTTCTTTTCTGCTCCTTTCTCGCGACTTGACGTGGAAAGTCTTTTTAATGTGGCTTTCCATGGCTACTTAGCATTGTTAGTAGGCAGTGTTATTAAATTGTACTACTTCCGGTTTTTGTGCAATTCCTCATACTTCTTTTTAAAAAAGCTATTCGACGAAGAACATTTAATCAACGTCAACGAGGAAGACTTCCTGTTTACAACGCAAGCACATATACTGCCAATTTCGAGGCTTCATCAACTTGCCAAATTACTGCCGTTTAATCCCTTCCAATCGTCAACAGACTGCACAGACGGTTCGCCGTGTTTTGTCACCTCTACCCCAGAGAGCTACCTGGTAAGCATGTTTCTATCATTTTTGTTTTCTACTAAATTTCATGCGCAAGTTCTAGTTTTCTTCACGGTTAGCATCGAACTCTATGCGGCACTGCACTACACATCTTAATTTGCTTTAGGTGGTGTTCAAGTATTGATAGATTTCGAGCGCAATCTTACGCAAGTTCGTATGCCATAGTATGTGGGCTTATGACCACGCATCCTTCCAGCTGCGCATGTTAAGTCAACCCCTGAAGGCCACTACTTACATAGTTTGTATTTTTCTACCGACTTTCGAAGCTTGCTTGACTTCGCTCCTAGTTACCATAAAAGATGAATAAAAGGGCGACACGTTGCTTTATTTAGGGCCCCCTAGAAAGAGTCTGTCAAGGTTTTAAAGAGCCTCGTGCTTACCTGAGTGCGCCGACGTTTATATGGTCATTCGTATTGTTTGCCGTGCCGAAGTTTAGTAGTGTTACTGGAAAACCGTAAGCTACGTGATGCGCATGCATTCCCGTATGCCATCCCCTTCCAAAAATGTGATTCAGCCCTGTGGCTGGGGAGTCCTAGTCAAAATCCAAAGTATTATCATACGTGCATTAACTTGTGATTCGGCTCCACCCTATTTGGTATGGCTATGTCATTTAGTTGATTTCCTCTACCTGAAATCCCATCTAAATTTGCAAGTGTACGATTCACGAATTTCGATGCCCACTGGACTTCTCGCGGTTTATCCATCAGCATCGGACGCAGGTCGATGATTATGCAGGCGTCTGAATGTAAACCAGCCAGCATTTTCCCGATCTCTGAACTGAGTTTCTCTGGCCTTTTGCGCACTTTGGTCTGTGAGTACCAGACCCCTCTGAATCCATCAGCGCCTGCGCGTTTTATAGGCGGGCATGACTGCAGACTGTTAATCACGTCCCGGGATGCTGGAATAAGGAAACGGACTTCCGCGAATACTAGCCCCGATCCAAACACGATTTTTGGTCTGACGAACAAATAACCGAGGACCAGCGCAGTAGTACTGTCAGGATACGGAGGCTTGTGGTCTAGAACGCCGACTACTCCATACACTGCCTGGGAGTCCGATTACGGTACTTTGACCCAAAAATCTCAACCGCTGGAAAAATGTTTTTTTTTCAACCCATTATGTATTCTGGGCCATATATCAATCCGCAGGCCAAGTTACAGACCCCTAAATCTGCATCTGCTAAAATCGCAATTATCTGCTGGTGCTACGGCGTCTACAGGAGTCGAGGTGTCCGGACAGGTGATGGATCAGCAAACTGTCCTGTCTCCAATGCTTCAGGAACTGTGTTGCCTCGTGGTGTGCGAAAACGTACATACCCATTACTGCAGAATCTAACCATGGGACAATGGTGCAATGACGACTTATCAATCCCTCTTGATGACAATCAGCCCTCTCCCGAGGGACCATTGATGATATTTACGTGAAATTTGTCTAATGTGGTAGACTCGCGCAACATCTGTCTTGTTTTCCATTATTTACGCTCACCCTACTCCACTGTCAGGACCAAATCAGAACACTCGGAGATAAGCGTTGTTAAATCCAGATCTGCCCCCATCACCCATGCACTCATCCTTGCACATACCACCCAGATTTCACGATTTCGAATCCCACATAGGCGATAACTGCCCTAAAAGCCCAATTATGGAGGTACCACTACGGCTTCACCCTCGGTATAGAAGAAGACAGAGCTACCCTATCAGTTATCAACTTTCCAAGCCATGCCTTTAGTGCGTTCATTTCACGATGGCGAGAAAGTTATGCACCAGATCTATACCGATCCGGCCCCACACCCTCTATCAGCTGTGAGAAGTCGCAGTCGTGTCAACTAGATGTTATGAGATTAGGGGTCCTGGTGGACATTAGTTAAAGCCCATATAAAGCACGTGTCACATACCTGCTTGGCGCCATTGAGATCTTCCTCAACAGCGCGGCCCCTCCGGGCACAATGTAGTATGGATGTCAACTGCTTCCGGGCTGCGCTTCACGGGCCATGCCTCGCTCAACGTTGGTGTTAGGCCTCACTACCGCATCAATGTCGTTCACAACTTCGGCTGCCAGACATACAATCGCAGAGCATAACCGGACCAAATATTATATTTTCTAGAAACCGGTGTCACGAAGGGTTGCATCTGCGTACCCTCTTACTGTTACAAGGTGTACAGGTGTTGACTCACTTCTAACTGCGTGCGGTCTGTGCCAAAGTCAACTTTTTGTGAGCAGAGGTCGATTTGGAAGTTGCATTTCTGAAAGCCTTGATTCGCTGCATTTATTTTACTGCTTTTAGTGTCCGGCTGTGGAATCTACCTCTAATGTCTTTGAGTGAATCGCGGGTCCTTGTCTTCTCGTTTTTCAAAACTTCGTACCAGGGCTTTCTACGAGTGTGCCTTCTTGACTTTCCCGCCAAACCACAAAGTGGTTCCTCTTGCCAATGCCTTTCTCAGTACCAGACTGCCTTAGTTTTTCGCTGCTTTCGGCGTCTTTAAGCTGAAAGAATTTTGTATTTCTCGGATTGGTGCTTTTATACAGCCTCATGCTTAGAAAACAGCTAGTCTGTGGAATCCGGGCGAGGCCCATTTCGAGCTTTCATCCTCTGGTTTAAATTAAATTTCTACAGTCTTCTACTTCAGCCTGTTTGCCTTGTGATCTTTCTGCAAATTGGATAAGCCAGTCTATACATGCGTACTTTTTGAATTATTAAGTGTAAAAACGATAGTATGTAGGTTAAGGAAGCAGTCTTGGTGGGGGGACAGGGTGGATATTTGTTCAGGACAGTCGGAAGTGTAGCTTAAAAGGCTTTACGGTTTACTGTGCGAACCTATATCTGCGACCACCTGACCGGTTCGCTTCTTTACAAGGAGCTTACTACGGGGTACAGCGGTCTAGTTGTTGGCTGTCCGGTCCGCCCACAGGTGGCGGATAGTGGAACGACCTTAAGGGAGAGTTTGCTGCGAGATAAGCGGACTAGAAACGACAGTGCTAGCAGCGCGCGGAGGGACGAGGTTTGGCACACTGACTGCCCTATGACGGTGCTATCACGTGGCGACCGTGGACCGTACTAACAGCACAGGTACTATCTGGGCTTTTGGCTAGTACCTGTGCTGTTAGTATGGTATCACCTTACCCTAAAGTGAGCTTGCTTACCACCGCTGTCTTGTGGTTAGGTTCCCGAGCTAAAGCGGTAGAGGAGACAACATTGGAAAATGGACCTGAGCGGCTATTTGGGACCCGCTTGTATTCCAAACTTTCCAGGAACCGTGAAATATGCGATTCAAGTATTAAGTTCCACTGTACGACGTCCGCAGCGACCGAAACGCTCCGCGACCCTGGTCCGGTGGTGCAGACGAATAAGGTGCGAGTTGAACTACTCAGTCGAGAACGGACATCTGGTATTGGGTTTTGGAATGTGTGAACTTTCCTTGACCCTGGTACCTAAAGCCTGATCGCATGTAGTCTTCGGCACAACGTGAATGTCTACCGTCCGTCTAATGTCCGAATCCCGGATCCAGGCCCTGGAAAAGTCATGATCCCGGGGACCAACCCCCAGTTCCCCTTTACCCAAGCGGCCCACACGACTTCCGGGGAACGAGCTGCGGCGATCGTGCTTTTGAGACCAGCGAACCGTGCACCGTTCGCGCGCAAGCCATCCAATGACCGGGTGGCCCACGTGCGACTGAAGGGTCACTTTACTAACATTTCTGTCGTCCCCTTGGCACGTACATGTATCAGTTACCGACCAGCGCGATAGAGAGGCCAACTTACAGCTGCAAGAGTTAGTTGGGAGACCTCCCCGCCGTGATCCGCTGATTGTTGCGGGAGACTGGGATGGTCGGACCGGGCCGAGTGACTTCTAACAACCACCTTGGTTTGTCGCTCTGTGATTAACTCTCGGTGCGAAAAAGACGAAGCCCAGCGGCTGACGCGGGAGCCGCTTAATACGTTGGAATTTGGTTGCGTGGCAACTGCGTCTTTCAAATGCTGCACTATTCATGCCCTCGTCACCCTTATATACGCCCGTCTCTGGTGATCGGCTGATGTGAGAATCCGAAACGTCAGGCCAATAAACTTCCTGTTCCAGCGATCGCATCTTCTGAACTGCCTCCTGGGTTGCCTTCTCGCTTATATCGGCGGGAGATGCTACCCAGAATCGACCGCTTGTCACTAATGAGTACATCGAGCACCACTGCAAGCATCTGCTGACTTGTTATTCGAGCGGTGGCCGTATGGCTAGTCAGACTGAATTCATTCTATTCAGCACAAGATGACGCAGCTGGATTTGTGGTATCAGATTGGCGCGTTGTGCCGGAACTGACAATGTCCACAGGTCAGCCCACGTTCTCGTTTGCGCACCTGAAGAATCGTCCCTCCGCACTCAAGTTGTCACGGTTAAGACGTTTTGATGTCACGTAATTACAACCTAACACAGCGAAGCCTTGAGCACAGAAATCCGGTCTCGTTTTGCGACCGCGGTCGAAGGGGGAGGGGGTGGTAGTAATTAGTCATTATTGAAGCCGTCAGTTCACGAAGCAATTGGGGAAACTCTTGGACGGAGCCGCGGTGTCTGCGTCGGTAGAGGGACCTCGTAACCGTCTGCCCAGACGGCTTGAGTCGGATTCTGCTAGGGTGATTCAGTCCGTCAACCCCAGCAAATGATAGCAAAGTCGGCTGGGAAAGACTGCAACTTCGAGCACCTCAATTTCCACGATTAGCCCATCACCCCGTCGCAACCTGTAGTGAAGTCATCGCTCTCCAGTCAGTGCAGCGTCATATGACCCCCGTCTCATGGAGGAAGCACCGATGCAAAACAGAGGTTGCACAATAACATGCCCACCGTGGGGGACTGCACCCCTACTGAAATCTGCCAATATTGTGTTTACGCTGGTGTTCTCCTAGCTACAGGAAGTGATTAAATAAGGGTGAGAAAATGAGGTCGTTACCAACAGCTAGAACTGGGGCATCTTTGTGCATGTCATCAATTAAGGCGATAAAACAAATTGCGAGAACTACCGTAGCATAAGCCATATCGACGTTATTAAAAATGTCTTTACTGTTATCATAAGCAGAGGATTTCGGAGTGCGCCTGGATCGAGGAGAGAGACGCAACCAAGCTGGGTTTTGAGTAAGAAGTGAACGTGCCGACTAGATATTCACACTGCGGGACGTTCTTTAATTCCGCCGCGGCTACCGGCAACCGACGGCCGTCTGCTTCGTTAACTTCGCCGCGACGTTGGATCCCCTCCATCACGACTCCCTGTTGCGGGTACTAGAAATAGACGGCAAAACATCGTCGCCATGATCCGGGCCTACTATTGCGTCACCACTGCGCGAATCCCGGTCCATAACAATCTCACGAAGCCGTCCGATAATAGATCTGACTTTCGACGAGGTCGCATTCTGCGCCCACTTTGGTCAAGTGCGCCACTGACACGGTTCTCAAAAAGGTGCTCAGTCTGCACCCGGCCGCCGGCTGGCTGATCTCGACTACACTGAACATCGCCTTGGTAGCCTCAAACTTTAGTGATCTCGTGTGACGTCAAGGGTGAATGAAGTCCCCAAACTGATCGGTTATTCCGTAAACGCTGGGAAGTGTGTACGAGTCGTATCCTCGACCAGGAGAAGGCGCCCTTAAGTGTTAGTGGCTATCAACCTGAATCCTAATCAATTCGAAACACTTCAGTTAGATTAAAGCTCGAAGTTAATGCTGGAAGTACACTCGTTGTTTACGAGCGATTCCGAGAAGGCGAAAATTCATGTCAAATGAGAAAACCATAAGGCCTATCCTTGCAAATAACGCAGGAAATAAAACTGTGTAAGTACAGTGACGTTTAAGAAGACTGGTCGTATTTTACAGTACCAGCAGGCGTTGAATGGAGTGTGAATACGTTATCGTACAGTAGGGGATCAAGCCATGACTACTCGGGACTTAAACAAAATTCATTGATATAAAATCTTAATTAAGAATTATCGACCCTAATTGAAAATCAAATGCAAAACTTAGTTGAAATTAGTGCCGTGTTTGGAAGCAGTAGTAACCACTTGGGAAGAAGTAGAAATTCTGAAAACGTGAGGGTTCCTGTGGAACAGCGAAACAACTCTAAGAGTAGATAATACATGTACACACAAGCACGTCTGGAAATGCACTGTAAGATTTTGGAAGATCACAATGAATAACCTCCGGACCGAACTCTCAAGCATTAAGGAAATAGGGACTATTGTAGTCAGCTAACCGTCCCACGCTTGACGAAGTTCTTGGAGGTGATACGCAAAGTTGCGAGTTAAAACGTTTTCTTCCTACATAGACCAGCGCTAAGATTAGTTCGCTTGACGTCTTGGCAGAAGTAGGTGTTCCTAAGATCCCTTTTTGAGACCGCTGCTAATAAGTCGCTGGGATATAACTGGCAAACCCCAGAACAAAAATATCACTTCCTGTGTGTGTGCGGAGTATATTTCCTACCTAAGCTTACCGTGCTCTGTTTGGCGGCGTTTAAATCTCAAGGCGCCCGCGATGACAGGCGGCACAATTCTCTTTTTCGTGTCTCTGTCCATCCCCCAATAAGACGGTGTTGTATTTTGTGAATATCAAAATACAACGGCTCTTGAAAGTATTTACTTCCATAGTATGCCCCGGAAGTTGTCTTTTGCAGATGACAGGACCATACTTAAATACTTTTGCGGTTTGGTCAACCTGCAATTGCAGGTTGACCAAACCGCAAAAGTTCGAAGCCAAAAACGGATTTTGGAAGTGAAGGGTCGCGGAAAGTATGCTCTTGATCAAGCAAGTACACTTATGAATCATGTCACATGAACACCCCTCTCCAGAGTATTTTGCAGACGAAAGCTCACACGCTACACTGTTCCCAGAGGCGAAACTGCAAATCTTTGTCCAGACACGCATTTTCCTGACTAATCTTGATTCTTTTCAGGCGACGAACGATAAAGCCACTGTCTTTATTACTTTGGACTACTTTCGTTACCTTTCTTTAATTTTAGGCCGCTATCTTTTTTTCCGTATCCACTGAAGAGCAGCCCGATAAATACTAAAACATCTGTCTAACGGCCACCTTGTTTTGGGTGTCCAAAATGTGGAATTTCTGCATGTTCAACCATAGAGTTTTTGACACATTGTCCAATGTTTTACCTAATGCATCCTATGTAATGACTCCAAATTTTGAGTTACCGTGGCAAGGTTTTAATTACTGCTTGCCATTTATCCTTTGAAATATCAATCAAACTATTTCGGTTCTGATTTATTATAATTTTTATTTTCTTCGAAATAGAGTTCAGTTTAAAATTCTGCGACCACCTCGGACAGAACACTCGAAAAGA